GAATTTTCATCATTAGGGTTTCTTCTTTGACTTCTGTCTTTACATTGCCAAACAAAATATATCCAGACTGATTTTTTCTTGCCTCTATGAGACAGAGAGAGGTAGAAGTCAGAATGTGACTCCTTCCATGATTCTGAAGCTTTTCACCAGAGCAGAGTCCTCCTCCAACACAAGCCCCGTGTATCTGAGCATAGCACCAGGCTGGCCAGCAAGGCTGGTTGTGTGTGGCCACAAACAAATTTAATGGCTGTGTCCCTGAAAGCAACTGTTGTCGATGCACTGAGCTCCTCTAGCAGGAGTCCTGTTCACAAACCACACTTAGAAAGCAGCTTCTCTTGTCCCACCACTTGCTCTCACGGAAAGTGATTCCCCTCTGATGACTGATGGCCAGCATGAACCAAGCAGTTGTTTGATGAACTCCCCCAGTACTGAGATGTAAACAGCCTCCATTCATGTTCTTTATGTTCTTATAAACATTCAGATTATGCAGAGTGATGGTCTAGTAATTGAATAACATGACAAAATTTATTCTTCCATTCCTATCTGCTAAATAAGGATGTATTTGAAGTGTAACTGTAGCCCACACATCATCTTGTCTGGTCTTTCAGCAGTGAAGTCTAGTCTAGGGCTCTCAGCAGAGCTGCCACTCTAGGTACTGCTAGCATCCTAGCCCTGGAGATGAAGCTGAGTGAAATAAACTACAGAGATATTTACCCTGATTCTTGGACAACTTTTTGTTACTCAGAAAGATGCCACTGCAGCTTGATTTCTACAGGTATATAGGTACAATTGTGCAAAGTACTGAAATGCCTCATAGTTTTCACCTTTGGTAAAATCTCTGTCAGTTGATACTGATACCCATACAGTGCAATCTTCAATGTATATATGTAAGTATATATAGAGAGAATTTTGCAGTTGGCTTTTACAATTTACAATTTTATACCACTGCTCAGCAAAGAGTGAAATTTCACTTTGATCTTCTGAGTACTGGCCATCCCCACCAGCAACGCATACCAAAAAAACAATGTTTTGTCCTCTAACTATACCTGAAAATAAGAATGACCCTCTAATCCTGTTTGGGAAGAAATAGGATATGTATTTCCCCAGAGAATAATCCAGGGCACAAACCCCCAGGTGGAGACAGGTGTCTCCTGGCAGTGCTGAGTCGTATGGGAACCCCAGAAAGAGGTGAATTTGAGATCCTGTCATGTCTCTGCTGCCAGCTCAAGGTCACCCCTTCCTAGCTTGATTGGATTTCCTTGGAACTCAGCCTTCCCAGATGCTGGACTTGATGCACTGGCACTCAACAGAGACATTGCTGAGGAAGTAGTTGGGAGAAACAGGTTTGCAAGTCAACAAGCTCAGGTTGTCTTATGAAATCAGGTTTTATTCTAACTCTCATCCCTTTCAAGCATGAAGCACTGGGAAGTGTATGAGATGTGGATTGCACTGGGAGTTTTAAGCTCTCTTGCAGCGTTCGGTTTTGGACAAATCTTCTGTTCCCATGTCAAAGTAATCTTACTCTTCTCAAATCTTTATTATGCCTATAATGAGGCATGATAAAGTCATGGATAAATGGTCTGCTCTGGTTTTACTTGATTTTGTCAGAGTAGTCATAGACAGAGATTTTTAGAAGTGTGTACAAATGGGACACGAGGTGAAGCCCTCTCCTAGTACTCTATCACATAATTGCCTTACAAACTGTAGGTCTGCACCAAAGTTACACAGTAGCCAAAGCTGGCAAGGAGGGTTTTGTAAAATATACGAACTACATTTTGTGACTGGACATGATAAAGGGCCAAAAAGTATGTTTCCATTAAAAAATTATCTAAACGTAGAACATAAAAATTGTGTTTAAATGTGCATAAGCAGCTTGACCTTTACCCAGGACTCTGCCGAGGAATGGTACAAGGCAGTATGACAAGCCAATATGAAATTGTTTGATTAATAAGATATATAATGTGATCAGAACCTCATCTGAAATTTTAGCTTGACATGTGAAATACACTATTAAACGGCTGTTTGATGCTTTCTTGATTTTAGGACTCGAGCAAGTTAATGCATGCATGGTGGAGAGGTCATTATGGACTCTGAGGCATCATTTCAGGCGTGTGCTAAGCTGTACAGAGTTGCATGGCCAGAGTTTCATTCACAGATGTTTGGCATGAAGACCCAATTTGTTTGCTAAACAATGTATAGCACATTATACTGTAAAACACTGCAAACCACTTATTAGTGAAAAGCCTGTTTCGCCTGCCACCAAGTGAGTATGTCACAGATATGGATAGTTCCCTACTCATTTCCTCACTAATTTGAAACATCCCTTTAACCAATGAAGAGCAACCCTGGAATGGAAATGCATAAATGTATGTCCATAGTTTATCATCTGAAAGGGGCTTGGAGTATTACACTTTGGGCAATCATGCACAATTTGGCTTATTAGGCAGAAAATAGGATAAAAGGGTTCCCCTTGGTGTGCAAGAAGAAAATTTGCATGCTTGGATCTCAACAGCCAACAAAAATTGGAGTAAAAAGAGTTAATGGCACAGAGCTAGTGGCACACAGAGAGCCAATGCCCTAATGCAAGAGGGCACTTGAAAAATCACAACAACCAAAATGACCTTAATACATGGGCCAATTTAATCACAGTGACAAGTGCATAGCAGTGTGCCAAGCCAGTGATTTAAATGGTGTAACTGGGGCAAGTCTGACCCCAAATCCCTGCCTGTTGTTCATTTGAAAACAAATTGAGAGGAGTTAAACAGAGCAGTCTCTAAGCCTGAACTTTTGCATCTGACAATAGTCTTTTCATTGAGACTCAAGAAAATAACTGCTCTGTTTTGCTAGCACTAACCCTGAGCAATTGATAAGGCAGAAGCAGAACCTGGATAAAATCTCCATTCGCCTATTTGCAGGCTCTGAAAAAATACTCTTCCATTGCATGCCAGTGCCAGTGGTGTGATATCCCTGGCAACCTGTCTAGCAGGGTCTGCAGAGAGATCTCACCATCAGAGGAGAGCCTCCAATCCACCCAGGTCTGTGCTGGCACACCAGCCTGGGAAGGGGAAAGTGCAAATTTCAGGACAACTGAAGCAGTGCATCTTAAAATCGCTACTAGAAAACATAAAAATGTAGATAAAAATGAGAGAAAGAAATTTTTTAACATAAAGAAGAGGAAGTCTAGACAGGGGAAGAAAATTGAACTGGAGAGGTGCAGAAACATAGGAGATCAAAGAAAAAAGGGTAAATAGGAGAAAAACAGCAAGTAAAAGTGGCCAAAATGTCTTCATTCTTTAACTACTGATAGATTTGGAATTGGGAGAAAAGAAAAACAAACTAATTTTTGAAAGCAGCAGAGATGTTTAGACAGCCACAGCATTTTTCATGTCCTGAAAGAAAAAAAAGCACTGCCATCGGATTCTCCATTCTTCCTGTCAGGGATGTGGCAAGGTGGATGTGTGCCTTCAGTGTCACAGAAGAAAGACCCACACGATCTCGTGTCAGATGCAGACAGGCACTGCATGTTGAGCACTGAAAAACAGTTCGTCAAACCCCTTAGTCTCCTTAACTCTTAGTCTCTCCTTCCTTTCCACTTCCATTCTCTAATAGCTGGAATCATGACTAATATTAACAAGCTTTAACTCTTACCAGGTAGAGAAGCACAAAACACCACAATCAGAAGTATTTTCTTTGAGATTACAAGCAAACCTACCTGTAATCACTCTTCATAAATCTTTCATTAATACTTTGCTGAAATTAAATATCATTAACCATTTTTTATCAATTGCTGTTTGTTTTGTTAAACATTGACAAGAACAATAGCACAGACTGATTGTTGCAATAAATGTATCTGGTCCTCTATTTGCCCTCAGCAACCCCTTAAACTGAAGACACTCGTCTGAAATATCTGTGGGGAAACACAAAGCTCTTTTCCTCCTACTATGTTTAAAACTTCAAGTTAAGCCACTTTTGAGAAGGGAAGTTGTGGGGGGAAGTTACAAGATGGAACATAGTCTCTTACAGAACTTAAGCTCAGGTCTCTCTTTTCAGAGTAACTATAAAATCCTAAATAAGTGATTTTGCTCTCTGATATACAGATGCTTGATAGTTTTCTGCACTTGTTGAGAATTTCCTTAATTGTCTCACAATTGACACGTGATCCTGGACTGTGTTACCAAACATTATGAGTGGCCACTAAAGAAAACAAGAAGGCAATGGTGCTGGAAGTCTGGTAGGTCACAGCAGGCACTAACTCATGACATGTTTCAGTCACTAACTCAGACACCTAGAACACAGACACCCGTACCTGGGCTAGCAGACAGTGCAGGGAAACACAAATGCCTTGGGCACAAAGCATCTGACGTATTTTGGGTATCCACTTTCAGCTGTTCTGAACCGTGTTTTATAAGTACCTGTTTTTCTCCACTAGCTGTGGAGATTGTCTGGGGTAGTCACCACAGGTGTATGTATCTGCACTGGTCAGATGAGTCCACTCCTAGTGACCGAACACTGTGGTGTCCCTGATGGCTGCTGAGGGACTTGGGTCCTTGGTGGACACGACTGGTCATCATCCCAGTTGGAATGATATGACACTTTGAGGAGAAAGGTCATGGTTGCCCCAAGGCAGAGCCCAATCCAGCATCCCAGCCTGTGTTCCAGAGACGAAAGTGGTGGTTGAGGACATTTCTTCCAGTAGCCTTCATCTCATGCAACAGGTACACACCTGTAAACACTAACAGACTAGCATGGGGACACCAATAGCACATCATGACACCTTAGGATCAGACCTGTCACCTTCCAGGTGGACTGTGATGCTTGACAAAATTAGCTGCTACCTTGGCCTCTGTTCAGAAAGGGAAAAATAGACAGGAGAAGTTCAGTTTTATCATGTACCTTACATGTCCTTGCTTTTGATCTGTATTGACAAAGAAGATGCTGATCTCTGTTCTTTCTTCTCTCCCTACCCTGCCTGTACATCACCGAACCTGGCATCACCCAAGGAAACCAATGAGGAAAGAAGAGAACGGAACCAGTCGGTCCGAATATGCAATGACCTCCTCCCAAAACAACAAAACAGTTGATAACAATGCGGTCGTATAATCCCCAGAGCCCCGCCAAGGCGCAGGAGGTGGCAAACTTTCAAAGCACACACACGGAGTATGCAAGGTGGGTGAAATGAGGCAACGAAGGGAGCTGTGTGGCCAAGGACTTCATTTCAGTGACCCAGAAGAGAAAAAACAGGCTGCTCTCCAGGCTTGCTACTATTCCAAGGAAGGATAAACTCACCCACCTGGGCTGCCCAGAGAAAAGGCCTCGCAAAGGCATGAGCATTGCATGCTGCATCCCATGAAAGCGATGTTGCGATGCCTTCCGCTTCTTCTCCCTCTCTTCCCCTACTTTTAAGTTTGAATTGAGTGTCCACAAAAAGCTTCTGAAGTAGGATCTTTTGAGGAGAGAGTGATCTGCCAGAGTGGCAGAAGTTTATCATAGATGGGTCAGAGGGAGGTGTCTCCCTCTAAATGGGATGACACTTCCCTCTAAATGGTGAGAGGTGTCACCTGTGTGCTTCTCCAGCCTGTGTGGATTCATACGCTGATGCTTCATTCTTTTCATTCTTACTATTTTGTTATTAAAAAGGAAACAGAGGTTTCTGTTAAGCAAGCAACCAAAATTGGCCTGAACTTGTGACTTATCCCATGAAATTTATCTGTGGTCCAGTGACTATGCAGTTTTCATGGCTGAAGGCTTTTCAGGCAGAAGAAGCCAAAATGTTTTTTAAGATTTTAGCAATTAGCATTGCTACTGAAAGAGATGTTATTAAGATGTGCTTTAAACATTATTACTTCTTAATCAGCCTCCTTTTTTTGCACCACTATTTTATTTTTTTTAGATGTTCCCTTTTGAAATTCCATGTTTCTCTGTGTTTGCATCACACTGATTCCGCTGGGAAACTCCTACAGGAAAGATACTGTTTACATCTTGGTGTGAGTGTTTGGTCAGGATTGTGTTGAAAGGACTAGCAGCCCTTTGAAATTCTCTTCATTCACTGGTTAGTATTGTTCCCTGAACGTGTTGAGTCACCTGAACTGACACACTGAGGACGTTGGAGGTCTGGCTTGCAGGACCACTTTTGAGGGTCTGGTAGCTGGTTGTGCCCACATTGCCTGGGTCTCTGCCTCTCCTGAGCTGAGTCTGAAGGTGGTGCCAAGTTCAGCATACAGTTCAGTATTCTTCCCATGACATGGATTGCAGATTATTTAAAGCAAAACTGAATCTACCCAAATTCATTTCACGTAGGATCTCAGGTCAGACTCAGTAAGTAGCCCTTAGGATAAAGGTGATGAGACTAGTTGACATTCTGGTCTTTCCCTACCTCCTGAAAACTTTCCTTTGTGTCACATCTCCACATGTATGTCTCCATTTACCTCTGTGCTGAAAGTAGTGATGCAGTCAAAGACAAATTTACACCCTGGCTTCTTGTCTGGACATAAAACTTTGGTACCACTCAGTCTCCATGTCTGTGGTAACTCCCAGGCCCCAATGCAGTCTCACTTTGGGACCTGGCTGGCCCCAGCTATGTTGTCCCCTGGTACTGCAACACACCAGTACTTTCAGTTTTATATAAGGATGTGCCTGAACTGCAGAAATCAGACCTTGATTTTGAGCACATTCCGGCCTGTGGGTAATCTATTCCTGGGATGCAGAGTTTGGCATGATGGTAGAAGAACATTTTCCCCCAGAAAAGCTCTGGAATGTTCAAATCAGCAGTCTCAGCTCAGGCCCATCTGTAGTTTTCTATTACCTATCGAACAATAGGGTGTATGTAAATATAAGTACTTTTTCAATTATAAAATGAGATGCTGCTATATATTGCTCTTGAGAAATTTATTCATTTAGCTTTTTAGTCTGTCACCACTATGTAGAAGCTTAACTGCATAAAATTATTTTTTAAAGCTAGACTTTCTTGGTAAGTGAATGCAATTACAAAAGTGAGAGGCAAGTAACCCTCTGCCCACGAGTACAATCGTTCCCAGCCACATTCATGTTGTGTGCTTGCTCAAGACACAGTGATATGTTTTTAGATCCAAAGTGGGATTAAAATGGCAGAATTTACAATTTGAGTCTAGTGTCCCAAATGTTGATTGCCTAAAGCACTTAGCCCCTAGATACTATAATAAAAATATTGCAAGTATATTTCTAGAGTATTTTTAAGCTATAACATTTATTTTGGTGTAGTTATCTATGTTTGCCTTTCTTTTTTACTCCAGTTGTTTCAGCCTAAATGTGGAAACGTGGCATAGTTTGAGACTGGTTGCATGTTTATCTGAGAGTATAAAGTATGAATGCAGACAAGTTTAGCATTATATGGGCTCAGGATTAGCACTGTTTCCTAAAGGTTGTTGATTTTATTAGTTTCTTTATACAGCTTTAAAGTCATGTTTTGTAAGGTCAAAATCACAAACGGGATTTGTAGGTCATTATGTCCATCAAAATATGTCTGGTTTTTGCAAAAAAAAGAGTAAAAAGAGATGGTCACCAAACACTGTCTGATTTTCAGTTATATCAGTAGTACCCTGGTGCATGACACAACCCACAAGCAAACCCTGCCCAGGCCCCATGAGGACTCTTCAGAAGAACATAAACTTTAAAAGCTTCATGGAGAGTAGAGAGGCAGGGATTGCAAGACACAGCCCGTGCCGCCTAGGATCCATTTCCTACTCTGCCACTGATCTGTTGTTTACTAGCAAGTAATTTTGCCTCTCTGTGCCTCAGTTTACCCATCTGTATAATCAAGATAAAAGTAGGTCCAGCTCAGTATTTTGAAAGAAATACATGTAGCTTATTTGCTAGGCGGATATACACTACTGTTGTATGCAACATGCTGATAAATGTATCAGGCACATCCTTGCCATAACAGTTCTCGAGCAAACACTGCTCATGTGCTTTTATAAAGCATTGGTCACAGAAAAGCAGCAGTAGGTGGGCTGAGAGCTGCTCTTCTGCTTGCCCAGACCCCTGGCTCTCAGCCCTCACATCACAGCATGGCAGGGACAGGTGGGAAATCTTGCATGGGGTGGTTTTGCCTTTAGATTCCTGCCCAAGTACAGTTGACTACATTGCACCAAAGTAATCTTGAGAAAGGCACTTGGAAAAGTATCCTGGAATCAGACATAACTCTTCAGAAAAGGGAGGCTGGACAGGGGATGTCACTGAGGAGTGATTTCTGGGGCTTTCTGATGGAGTTAAGGTTGTGTTTAATACTCTACAGACTACTTGCAAAGATAGGCTTCTGTGCTTCCTTATTGTACTATAATTAAATACAAAGGGAAAGGAATGGGCCAGTAACATAAGCGCTTCACTAAGCAGTGATCCTGGATCTGGGGAACTGACAACCCAAAATGCAACTTTACAAGCATTTTGAGTTCCTTTTTAGCCACTAAAATATCAGGGGTAGAAAGGATCTTCCTACCTCCATTCACAAAACAGTCAGATCCGCAGATGGCAGAAGTGAAGGTGGCCAGTACACAGAAGGTACTTCCAGACACCACCAGACAAACTCAGCAAAGTGCTGCCCTCAGTCTGAGGGAGAGCAGCAGCTCCAAATCTCTTCTCAAGGATCACCACTAGCAGGGAATGCACCTTAAGGGCCTGAGCTGCAAAGTGTTGAGTTTCTTCGTTCCTCACAAGACAGGAAGGCAGAGCTGAAACCCCAGCCCTGCTGCCTTTCCTGTCCCTCACCTGACACAGCTGTGTGCCCAGGGAAGCATTTCTGCCTTGGACAGATGCTGCAAAAACAGACATGGAAAGAAAGGGGAAAGTTCTATGAAATATAAAATATAAATATATTGATATATATCTATACAGAGACCTAATTGTCCAGTCTTGCATGCCGTATGGTCATGTGGAGAAAGTGTGGGCACCCTGCTCCAACCAGGGCATGACCATAGATGCTGCCAAGCAATGGAGAATCAGGCCTGTGGTAGATATGTATTTACAATACTCCCTGCACCTGTACAAACAAAAATATATTATTTTAAACTGCAAAATAGTGTGTTTAAATCAATGCATGAATGTAAATATTCTAAGATCTGCCTTCTTGACTGTGTACCACATGTACAGATGAAAACGAATATTGTTTTAGGAAATCTGTATCGGTGGTTAAATGACTAAAGAGAAAAAAATATCAGAATTAATGTTGTCATGTTTCTCAAACAAGCCATTAATGTATATTTAGTATTTAAGGATATTGCTCAATAAGTATGTTCTGTACCAAAAACTGTGTTGCATATACAGATTGTGCAGTACCCTATTTTAAAAAGGCACCATAATTAATTTTTATTTTAAATAAAAATGTACTTGTAAAAACTTTGCTGTGTCCTGTTGGTTATGTAGCTGAGAGCATTGAATGGAGGATGGCTGCAGTGTCTCTTCAGGCACTTCTCTTATTATGCAAATTTACCAGACGTGCTTGAACACTTTCTGTTGTGGAGAAGTTCTGGTTTTTGAGAAGCTCGTGGCTGCTGCTTGTGCGTGTGTCTGGATGGGTCCTAGCTCTGTCTCACTTAACCCTGCAGTTCTTGTCTCAGATATGTGCACTGCTGGTGGTGCATAAACAAAGGGATTACACTCATACATTCCTGCAGCCCTCCAAAGCTCATGAAACCCTTTCTCTTATGCTGAGGGGCTGGAAGTTTCATAGCCTAGTTTTAGAGTGATTTCTTCATCTTTCCCATAGTACTACATATCTTTATTTTGGTGCAAGATATAATGTTCATCATTTATATTCTAATTCCCTGGATGGGTTTCACCCTCCTTTTCCACTCAAGAACAAAAGCAGTTTATGACCAGTCCTTCAGCAGATGGACACGGACACACAGCAGGTAAACCTGGGTCCTTTGGCTGGGATTCCCCCCTCCCAGTCCTGTGTCTTTACCAGACAGAGGTGAAGAACACAGAGGTGAAGAGCACGGGCTCTGAGCTGAACCAAGGGGCTCCCACAGCCTGCACTCCTCCGTCACAACAGGGCTCCTCCTTCCCCAGCCAGAGGAGAAGGCTGCAGTAATTCTCCAGTGACTGCCAGCTAACACCTGTCATGGGACGGGAGGATTTTATTTAAATAGGGAACCATTTTGTCTCTACTTCCCAAGGCATTATTCCCTTACAGTTTTTGCTGATACCTTAGGAATTATTTTATGTCCCAGTTTGGAAAAAAAAATCTAAAATTTTGAAAAAAAAAGTAGGACAGAGAAACAATAATAATCTAGTATGGTGGGAACATGAAGGCTCTGAAGCACAAATCTTATGAGGAGCAGCTGAAGGAGCTGGGAATGTTTAGTTTGAAGACAGAGAGGCTCAGGGAAAACCTTATCTCTCTCTACAACTACCTGAAAAGAGGTTCTAGCAAAATGGAGGTTAGTTTCTACTGATAACAAATGATAGGACGAAAGGAGATGGCCTCAAGTTGTACTTGGGAAGTTTTAGATCAGATATTAGGAAAAACTTCTACTTTAAAGGCTTGTCAAGCATTGGAAGAGGCTGCCCAGGGCAGTGGTAGAGTCAGTAACCCTGCACTTATTTAAAAGACACATAGATGTGGCTCTTGGGCACCTGGTTTAGTGGTGAATGTGATGGTGTTGGGTAAGTGGTGGGACTTGATGATCCTAGAGGTCTTTTCCAACCTAAACAATTCTACAATTCTATGATGCAAAGTGGTTGGGGGTCAGTTGAATGAATTACAGCAATAACCATTATGCCATAGACTATAGTATCCATCAGGTTTAAATATTGGACAGATTTTGCAGAAGAAAATTTCCACATTAAAAATCTCTATAAAAAAGAAAAGAATAAAGAAAATGCCTCTGGAAGTCATTGACCCATACTTTGGGCATCAAAACTGTTGGAGCAACATCCTTACATCCAGTCTGAGGAGGAAGAAGGATGTCAGTCTGGAGAGCAGGGCATGCCTTGGTGTGGTCCCTCAAGTCCTAATAACACCATCAGCCCAAATTCACTGCTGTTTGGCTGAGCTCTTGTCTTGCTTTAGTTATGATGAGGTGGTCACAACAAGCAATAGGAGGATGGGGTGCAAATCTGATTAGACCAGAGCACAGTACAAGAGCTCCAAACCTGACATCAGGGTTATGTCTTCAGCATAGCTGAAAACCTTGTAATTAATATGAGATGCATCTTCGCTGTGCTGAAGAGCTTGATGTTACCTGATGTGCTCTTCCTTCACCATCCCATCACTGGGAAACAGTGTTATGATATCCAGAGAGAAATTAGATTACTGGGGTTTAATATTATTTGGAGAAGGAGCAAGAACTTGTAACGAGAGAGATGTGTATTCTGTGATTTTGGTAATATAAACTCATTAAGTCCTTTTCACTGGTTTCATCTGATCATGTGTTGCCAAGGTTTACATCTTTTTAAAAGATGCCCAGTATAATTAGTTCCAAATCAGAGCTTTCTCCATTTCTGAAAGATGCTTTTATTTGGGCATGCTTGATTCATGCAGGTATAATCTTGGTGCACAAAGCAATCAAATGTTTAAAAAAAAAAAAAACAAACAAAAAGCCAACTGACAACTGATGTTATAGTATATTTAGTCTTCAATTACTGAAGTGTTAACATTTTTAATATTAATATTTGTTTCTTTCTTATCAAAAATATCCCTTCAAAGCTGAACTTCCATTAATAAAGATTTTATCTAAGCCATTTCCTTAAGTTTCTTTCATAATTGCAATGTCTTCAACCATATTTATAGCACAGAAACAGTTGTCTAATTATGAGTTTACAGAGAAGCTGCCCTTGAAAGTGGTCTAAAACTAAGTTTTTTAGTATTCAGGAAAAAATACTGAGAATATTAATACCAAGATAGCTGGCATGTTCTGAATTTGGTTTACTTTTGGCTTTAGTTAAAACAAAAGCACTTACTGCAACATTTAAACTCTTGTCCTGCTGCTTCTGTCTTGCACCATGGCACAGTTTGATATATGCATGGGGATTGGCAATTCTCCTGAGTGTCCTGCCAGCCCAGGCAGTGTGGTGTGAGCATCCAGGCAGGGCTGTGAGCCCTGGCACGGGCTCCTTCCCTCAGCAGCAAACAGAGCACGAGGGATGTCCTGGGAGCCACAGGGAGAGGCACCAATGCCTGGATGAGGTGTGCAGTCTCTCAAGAGATATTTTCTGGGGAGAGGAGGGATGGTGGACACAGTGGGCAGCACCAGCACCCACTCTGAGCCCTTGTTTCAGGCAGTCATTGAACAAGTTAAGGCTCAGTAACAAAATGATAGAGGCTGGATGTAGGTAGTTAAACTCCCTGCATCATATATTATTAAATTCTATAGAAAACATTACATCTATGAAAGAAGCATTATTGCACTGGCTAGAGTCCTGCTCAGCCTGCAGGGGTGCTGGGGAGGGTGCAGGACAGGGCAGACGTGATGCATGGGACCAGCTCTGCATTCCCCAACAACTTAGAAAAGAAAATCCTACGGGTTTAAATTTGTCCCTTGTTCTATTATGACAAGGCTTTAGGAAG